TAGCCCCCACCATGCCCTGTGGTTCTGAGTCTGCTAAAGGATAAGCTCTGGTTATGGTCCTTTTGTTGGGGGGGGGGTGGGAGATGAAGGTCTAGGATTGCTTTGCCTCTAGCCCTCAACATCAGAAAGGGCAGCAAAATAGTGGCCTTTAGCCCCTTCAGACTTGGGTCTTTTTTTTTTTTTTTTTGAGACAGAGTCCCACTATGTCACTCTCGGTAGAGTGCCATGGCATCACAGCTCACAGCAACCTCAAACTCTTGGGCTTAAGCAATTCTCTTGCCTCAGCCTCCTGAGTAGCTGGGACTACATGCACCCACCACAATGCCTGGCTATTTTTTGTTTTGTTTTGTTGCAGTTGTCATTGTTGTTTAGCTGGCCCAGGGAACCTGCTAGCCCGGGTGTATGTGGCTGACGTTGTAGCCACTGTACTACGGGTGTCAAGCCCAGGCTTGTTTTAAATTTAAGCATACAGAGAATTATCACCAGTTACTTAGGACCAGCCCTCTCCCCAGCACTGCCCACCTGCAAGGTGAGCCCTATCCTGACATCTCCCACCACCACTAATTGGTTTTCAGCTTTGTCCTTGAACTTCACATAAGTTCTGTTCTCCTTCATGTCTAACTCATGCATTCACATCTCTGAAATCTGTCATGGTATTCCGTGGACTATCAGGCCTTCATCTTCCTTTGTTGGTGCATAGAATTCATTCTGTGGATATACCACAACTTCTCCAACCCATTCCATGTTAATGTACCTTTGAGTTGTTTCCAGTTTGTGGCTATTGTGACTAAAGCTGCTAGGAATACTCCAGAACCAGCCTTTGATAGGGAGAGGGTTTGTTTCCCTGGAGCACTCATATGCCCATCAGAGGTTGCAGGGGACAGGGGAGTGTTTGAAGTTCCCAGGCCTGCCATGACAAATGACCACAAACTGGTGGTGGTGTAGTTTTGAAACAATATGAATTTATCCCCTTGTAGCTCTGGAGGCCAGAAGTCTGAGATCAAGGTGTCAGCAGGGCCACAATTCCTTAGGGGGCTCCAGGGGAGAATCTTTCCTGCCTCTTCCACCTCCTGGGGGCTCCAGGTATCCTTGGTTTGTGGTCAAATCATTCCAGTCTCTGTCTCTATGTTCACACAGCCATCTCCTCTGTGAGTCTCTTATAAGGACATTTGTCATTGGATTTAGGGTCCAACCTAATTGCAGGATGATCTCATCTCAAGATCCCTGACTTAATTACAGTCTTTCACTAAATAAGGTCACAGTCACAGGTTAAGGGGTCAGGACTTGGATGTATCTATTCAACCCACTACAGTGAGTACATAGTCAGCTGTAACAGACACAGCCAAAGCGCTTAACAAAACATTAACACCAGCCTCCCCTCCCTTCTAACTCTTCAGCGGTGGACTCTGGTTGACTGGCCATGTGTCCTCTCCCAGATCAAGCCCCTGAGGAGGGTACCACAGGGTCAGAAGACACACAGCAGGTGCCATCCAACAATAAGGCAATGTATTGTCTGGAGAAAACCAAACAAAAATAATGATAAAAGCATCCAAATCTCATCAGCTTACCATGGTCACCATTAGCAATGGTGCAATGTGGTTGATAAAAACACTCCCCTCACCCTCTGACAAAAATCTTCTTTGAGTCCAATGAAACAATTGTGCGATTATTTTGTTTTGTTAACATGGTTGCAAGTTACAGACTTGCACACTCTAGTTATTTATTCTTTAATAAATGTTGCAAGTCTATTCAGTGAATTCCTAGTTCTGGATGAGTGAAAGGGCTTCCTCCAAGGGGGAGTTCCTGTTTGTTTTCTATCATTTGTGGTCCTGTTGGCAACATATTTGCCTGTAACCCAAATGGATACCACCAAATGGATACAGCAAATTCCAAATAAAAAAACGAGATCTGGGGGTTGTAAAGATGAAGAAAACTTGTTTCATTTCTGCATTTTTTGTGAGACAGAGTCTCACTATGTTGCCCTGGGTAGAGTGTTATGGCGTCACAGCTCACAGCAATCTTAAGGTCTTGGGCTTAAGCAATTCTCTAGCCTCATACTCCCAAGTAGCTGGGACTACAGGTGCCCGCCTATTTTTTAGTCGCAGTTGTCATTGTTGCTTGGCAGGCTCGGGCTGGATTTGAACCCCCCAGCTCCAGTGTATGTGGCTGGCATCCTAGCCTCTGAGCTACAGGTGCCGAGTTTACTTGGAGTTTTTATTCCTGTTCAAAATGTAAACCAGGAAAACAGAGAGTGATAGTTTCATTGGGTAGCTGGACATGTACATTCCTATGGACCTCTTTTGCAGAATGTGAGAACCAATCTTCCTCCCTCCTTCCTTTCTTCCTTTCTTTCCTCCTTCCCTCCTTACTTGACAGAGTCTGACTTTGTTGCCCTCAGTAGAGTGATGTGACATCATAGCTTACAGGAACCTCAAACTCTTGGATTCAAGTGGTCCTCTTGCCTCAGCCTCCCAAGTAGCTGGGACTACAGGCACCCACCACAATGCCTGGCTGTTTTTAGAGATGGGGGGTGGGGTTCTTACTCTAGCTCAGGTTGGTCTGGAACTTTCCAACTCCTCCGCTCAGGCAATCCACCCGCCTCTGCTTCCCAGAGTGCTAGGATTACAGGCATAAGCCTCCACGCTGCTCATATCTCAAGAGAACCCTTAGAATTGAAATGTGTTCTGTTTGCTTTTAAAGCTAAAGAGCAAATCTGGAGAACAGTGTTTATTGCTGGATATTAGTTACATGACTTTCTTTGGAAACAGTGTTGTCATTCCCACCAGTGTTAAGGAAAAATGTCGGGGAAGGTGCTGTTCTTGAGATCATCTTGGGGTGAAACAGCGCTCCTGGCGGTGGTGGCCGCAGGGCAGCTTGGCACGTCTGGACCACCAGCTGCCTGGGTCTTCTTGCCTCCTGTTCTCGGCTTCTAGGCTTTGTGCTACGTCTCAGGCTTCAGATCATAGCCTAGCGTAGGGTGCCTAGAGTGAACCCTGAAAGTATGGGCGCTCACAGCCATTTTCGGGATAGGTGGCCGGGTAGTCTCACGGGGTTCAGGGGTCGAGAGGGCCCTACATCTTCATCCCCTGACACTTCCCAGACCTCAGCGGGGAGGATTCATGCTACGAGTCTGGGCAGGCAGACAGGCCTGGGTGCTCCACTGTTGCCGTGGGAAGCCTGATGAGGAAGGAGAGTGTCCACGGGGAGTGAGTGTCCGCGGGGAAGTGGGCAGAAGGCACTCTTGTAGGAGTCTCCCCAACTCCTACAAGAACTTCGGGGACGCCGAACTCTTTTCTTCCCCATCCCGCCGCCAGGGGGCGCGCTGGACCAGCTGTCCCCACAAAGCCAGGCTACACCTGTCCCGGCTGGTATTGAGCGTGGGGCGCTCCCAGCACCCTCTGCCTGCAGGCCCTGTCTCAGACAACCATGGACCGCACCACGTAACTGAAGTGAGTGCCTGCTCCCCCGAGGTCAGGCGCTGCTAGGTCCCTGACACGGAATAGATGATCCGTAAATACTCGCCGCGGGAATGCGCAAGTGCTCCAAGGGGCCAGGGAAGGATTCCGGAAGGGCTCAGTTCCCATCGTTAGAGCCAGTAGGGGCAGAAAGGGCACTCACTCGCAGATGGGGAAACTGAAGCCCACAGTGGGGAAGGGGCTGGCCTGAGTTCGCCTGCCAGGTCGAAGGCCAAGTTCACTGACATCACGCAACCCTGTGCGGGCTGACTCCCGCGGGAGGGACTCTCCTCTGCATCTGCTGTCGCATCAGTGCCCCTTTCCCCTTTGCCTCCTCTAGCTGCTGCTGGGAGCAGTGGGCTGTGATCTCTAAGGGGCTCCTGCAGACAGTCTACTGACCCCAGGTATCCCAGACTCCAAAGAAAATCACAACCACGCTACCACGCAAGACAGATTGTCCCAAACGACAGCATAAGCCCAGTCCAGGGTAAGGAGGAAGAAGGGGCAAGTCTTTGGAAGCATCCCACAGGAATGGACCTCCTAAGCAACTATGCAACACCCCACAGACACCTCCCCAATACACACACAGGCCAGATCTGCCTCCTGCCTCCAGAGGGTACATGAGGTTGGGGCTCTGCAGAGAGCAGTGGCTCTCACTTGCCTTCTCAGCTGAGGAAGGGGCTTAAAACATACAAAAACCCTATCTGTTTCCTACCTTCCCTCATCCCCACACAGGGTCAGACATGCTGGGGGAAGTGAGGACTGAACCAGGAGGAGGGGATGGGGTCCATGTGACCATGTGCGTACAGGCTATGAGAATACAGTTGTGCTTGTGATTCTACCAGCACATCCCCAAGTCTGAGGCCAAGTACATGTGACTAAAATGTCCTTGTTTTCTTTTTTTAAGTGCTCATAAAAATAATTAAATAGTAATAAAAAGGGAGATGAAGAACACCAGTGTCAACTGGAAGAAACCCAGCCAGAAATGCTGAACTGTCCAGATTATTTCTGCGGTTCCTGGTAGCCAGGGCAAAAGGAGAAATTGGTACCTTACAGTGCCTGGTTGGGCATGTCTTCTAAGGGCTATGTCTGTTACAGTGTCTCTAAATACATGAGGAAGGGATAGCAGTGAGGGGAGAACCCAGTGTGTCAGGAAGTTAAACAGTGATGAGCTTCCTGGTACTCAGGACAAGAGGGTGTCATGCTTGTTCATGACAGTGTCTTTAAGTAAGTGTGAATGAGGTAAGGAGAATAAATGTAGACTCAAAATTTCTGAGTATGAAATAGTTATGAGTTTCCTGGCAGCCAGAGTAAGTCTCTTCAGTGTGTCCTCATCAATGCCTATCTGCTCATGACTGTGGTTCTGGCTACATGTGGACTAACCAAAGTGTGAGTGAGGGTGAGTCCCATCAGTGCAGATGGGAGACATTTCTGACATTTCTGAGCTCCCTGGAAGCCAGGGGGAGAGAGGAAATACATTGACTTCAACTGACCATGATCAGGTGTGTCTTTCTTGCTGTGTGTTGAGTGGGCTCCTCCTGGAGCTCAGAAAGGACAGCGCCGGGCAGCCAAGCGTACCCGGCTATCCTCAGCAGGGCTCCAGGGACGGGCATAGCCAGCGTGGGGCAGCAATAACCGGTCTTGTGTGCCATCAGGACTGACCAGGCGCTGGACAGCCAGCAGATACTCTCGGTGGGGGCTTAGCAGTGGGCAAGGGCAGTGGCCCAGGGCCCACACATACTCGCGGACCCGCAGTGGTGACTGGTTCTTGTAGACAAGCTGCACGCGCACCTCATAGCGGGTCTCCTGGTTCTGGCGGTGGCGGCCCAGCACACGGGCCTGGAACACTGTGGGCAGGGCAGGCTCGAGGTACCTGGATGATCCACTTTGCAGCTCTCTATACCCCCCACCCCCTGAATTGCAGGAAAAGGGAACTGAGAACTGGGTGGGACCTCAGAGGGCTCTGGGGTTACGATGAGATCTGGGATCAATGAGGGGTTAGAGGTCGTATCAAAGAGTCAGATTAGAGTCAGAAGAAAAGGGTTGAAGTAGAGTCACATCAGGGTCAGAGATCAGCAGGACAGGACAGGTTAATTGGGGACTGGGAGAGGGTGGGGCCAGGGGTCTCACCGAAGTCACTGCTGCAGTAGTGGAGCAGCCTGTGGGCACGGCCACGGGTATCAGGGCAGGGCAGGCAAGGGTCTGTGGGAGTGGTGCTGTGAGGGGCACAGGGCTTCAGCTCAGGCTCGCCCCCACCCCGGCCTTCCCCACCTCACCTGGGGCCAGGGTTTGGGTTCGAGTCAGGATAGTAGAGAGGGTTGGGAAGTGCACTACTTCCCGGGGCTGTGGCTGCCGCAGGGGCCAGCCCAGGGCCTGCACCTGAGCCTGGAAGGGACCGTAGAGTTCCCGAGGGAGCCAGAACTCAAACTTGATGCCAGGGTTGGGCTCTTGCAGGAGGACCTGGAGTGGGAGGCCAGAGCTCAGGGAAGTGTTCCAGAGTCTGACAGCTGCTTTCCCCCCTCCGACTCCAGCCGGCTCCTCTCTGAGTTTCTCAAATGCCTAACAGCACCTGCAGGAGCAGGTCGTGGGAAGTGGGCCCCGCCACATGCAATGTCTCCTCTGGCCTTGCGTCCCGGGTGTAGACTATGTGGGTGCCCACCGCCTGGTAGGTCCCAGGCCGGCTGACCGCCCAGTTCCCATTGAGCACGTAGTGTCCATCGCTTCCCATCAGTGCTGCAAAGGAGGGGCAGAGCAGGCTCATGGGAAGAGGATATATCATCCATCTTGTGCACCCTGGGGTCCTGTCCTCCGGCCTCAGTACCCCCAGCCATACACAAGGACAGCAACTGCACCCAGACAGCCAGTTAGGTCTCCTCCGCTCTCAGAACCCATGGTACCTAGGTGGTTGTGGCTCTGATGGGCCACTCGGATGTGTCTGGCGCCTGCAGGGATCAGGGTCACGTTCCAGTATCCAGTGAAGGCACCTGGGCAGAAGGGTAGTAGGGTGTTGGGGTGCTGATAAGGGTGATGATTCAATAATTTAATGAGATACTGTGGTTAAGATGGCTAGCCAGGGCCACGGACACTCTGTAAACCTTTGCGATTATTATCATTATTTTTTTTTTTTAGAGACAGAGTCTCACTTTGTCACCCTCAGCAGAGTGCTGTGGCACCACAGCTCACAGCAACCTCCAGCTCTTGGGCTTAGGGATCTCAGCCCCCGAGTAGCTGGGACCACAGGTGCCTGTCACAACGCCCAACACTGGCTATTTTTTTTGTTGCAGTTTGGCTGGGGCTGGGTTCAAACCCGTTACCCTCGCTATACGGGGCAGGTGCCCTACTCACTGAGCCACAGGCGCCGCCCAACCTTTGGGATTATTATCGCGTAAGTGAAGCACGGAAAGCTTTAAAATTATCGTCTGTTCTGGGGAGGGTGGCACAATCTAGAAGTCACTAATCAGGATGAGGAGAGAGGGAGCAGGGCCCAAACTGCCCAATCAGCATAGGATTTCGCTTCCAAGTTGTGGCTCATTAAAGGGCCCACTTGGACTTTCAGAGACGGAGAGCGTGCGGTCACCAGCATCACGGAAAACACGTTGCACGAAGAAGCATGAGTCGTTGGTCCCGCCACAACGTCCACAATGGTCCTCACGGGCTCCCGAGCCCAGTAATCCGTCACAGCCGACGCTCTAAAGGGGTAAAGGATAGGCGTGTGTCACAAACGCCTGGAGAAAGGCGGGGAACCTGGATTAAGAGGGAGGGCCCAGGAGGCGGGACTGGAGTGGAGCCTGTGGGAGGGCGGGGCCTGGAGGGAGGAGGCTAGGGCGGAGCCTAGGGAGGGGCAGGGCCTGGTGAATCCTTACAAGGCAGTGGCCAGCCACGCAGAGCTCCTGGGCACCTGGGCTGCAGGTGGTGCCATCCAGGACGCGGCCGAAGCTGTGGTAGAAGGCATGCCCTTCTGCCAGGCAGTTGAGGTCGCACTGGTTAGGCGCTGAGGTGGGGAGGAATTAGTGGTCTGGGGACCTCTATCCTAGTTTCAGATTCTGCCATTAAGCTCCCTCAGGTAGGCATCCCCTTATACAGATAAGGCCCAGAGATTCAGCCAGAGCCCCACGTTGAGGCTTAATCAGAACCAGGACTGGCATATTTGTGCTCTGCTTCCAGCAATCTGAGACTCTCCTAAGCAAGTATTCTGGGGCTGCATTCATTCATTCATTGTCTAATCTTAGGAGTCGTAATCATTACCCATTCTTCACTCATTCATTCCACAAACACTCATTGAGCACCTACTGTTTTCAGGTAGGTTCTAAGCTCTGGAATACAGGAGCAAGAAGAACTCACTCAGCATTTGAGCCATGCACCTCGCAGGCACCCAATAAATAGTGTTACTCCAGTACTGACCAAGTCCTATTAACCTAGGTGTGTTGCTGGCTTCCTTGGGCCTCAACTGAGTTTCCCCCTTCTGGCTGGAAGTGGGGCAAAATGGACTGTCTGTTCACACCTGCAGATGGACAGCCCTGATCCCTACTTATCCTCAAGATCCTTCTGGCTCCCATCTTCCTGAACCTGTCTGACATACCCTCCTTGGAATGGATCCTCAGCTGTCCCTGTGGGGGTAGAATCATGGGAGGTTTCCTTCAATTCTCAGGGAAGAAGAGAAGAGAAGAGAAGAGAAGGGAAGAGAAGGGAAGAGAAAGTGGATCTTCTGAGCTTGATGGATGGAACTTTCTCCATTCTAGGCTTTTCTTTTCTGTGTCTGCCTTCACTGTGGCATCTGAAGCTGCCTGTCTCCCTTCAATCTGGAGGCGTGCTGCCCTGGGCACACAGTTATATAACTTGCTATTTTCAGCTCAGTGCAGCAATATTTCTTGCTACTAGGATAAGTTTGAGAACTGTTGGCCTCTGGATGCAGCTCTAAGTAAATCCTCAGCCTGGTGTTCAACCCCGTGCTGAATGGATCCTGCTTCCCTCTACTCCTGCTTGGTGCCTAACACATGCTAACACATGCTGCTTCTCCTTTACTTCACCAACTCCTATGTATTCTTCAAAGCTCCGGGGCTAATAGCCCTTCTCCCTTCTCTGTGCAACACTCCAAGTCCCTCTTCTCCCAGTAATAAGTTCAAATAATTAATTGTTCACTCTGAACCAACCCTGACCACAGTTGTCCAAACTACTCACCCCCATAGAAGGGCACCCATTGGTAGGTCTTCTGCATGCCTAGGACTGGGTGACCATTGTAAAGAGCACACTGTAGGTCTCGGAAGGCCACAGCCCCTGGGGGACAGTCCTGGGGACAGAGAGAAGTAGGTCAGAGGCCAAGAAAGCCCTGGGAAGCCCAGAGAACTAGACAGTGTGGTGGACATATTTGGGGTATGACTAGGGAAGCTTCAGGGCAGCCTCCGAGACCTGGGAGGTGGGCAGGGCTTACTGGAAACTGGCAGAGGCGGTACTCGTGTGTGTTGCCCCAACATGGCTCTTGCCCGAGAAGCCTACAGGAAGGAGGGTGGCCAGAGAGCAGTCAGAACACCCAGGGATCCCCTACCAGAGCTGACCAGTCCACCCTCCACCCCCGCCAACCCCACCCGCATTCCAGCAGGATCAGTGGGATTAAAGGGCAGAGCATGTGTGGGCAGGCTGAGGGTGTGGCCAGGGGCTAGGCCCCGTCTTGGCCCTGGGGCTCACTCAGCAGAGCCCTGAGTCCCACTCCTGACGTACCGGATGCAACGCCGGCTGCGAACAGAGACACCCCGCCCACAGGAGCTAGAACAGCCACTCCAAGAACCCCAGGAAGTCCACTCGCTGGGACCCTACTTGAGGAGAGAGAGGCACAGTCAGCCTGAAGGGAAAGCTGGTGGCCCCACACCACTAGCCTGGTCCCATTTCCATCTGCTCCCCTAAGTTTCTGCTCCCCCCTTACCTGAGCACTATTCCCCAAAACACAGTTCAGGAGGGTCCATAGCAGAAGCAGGAGGTTGTGGAAGAACCAGAGTCTGGGGGCACAGAGTAAGGGAGGTGCCTATGTAGTGGGGCCACCTCCAGCAGGACAAGAATTGAACCCCAGCTCTACCCTGACTGGCTGTGTGATCTTGGACAATAACTAAACCTCTCTGAGTCACACTTATCTCTGAAAAATGGGCTGGTAATAGAGCCCTCCACTTACAGGAAAGTTGAAGACTACTTTGGATCATGTAAGAAAAATAGGCACAGAGAGCCTGAAAAGGAGAAGAACTCAAAACCTTATCTGCAATTATTGATGGTGTATTTTCTTCTCTTTTTTTTTTTTTCAGAGACAGAGTCTCACTCTATTGCCCTCAGTAGAGTGCTGTGGCATCACAGCTCACAGCAACCTCCAACTCCTGGGCTTAGTCGATTCTCCTGCCTCAGCCTCCCAAGTAGCTGGGACTACAGGCGCCTGCCACAACGCCCGGCTATTTTTTTTGTTGTTGCAATTTGGCTGGGGCCGGGTTCGAACCCACCACCCTTGGTATATGGGGCTGGTGCCCCACTCACTGAGCCACAGGCGCTTCCCTGTATTTTCTTATTTATCATGTGCATAATACTTGCTTAATGTTTGACAATGGAAGGAATCACTCAAGGATGGTACACAGGTGGCTCCTAGAGTCAGGGTCCCTCACCACTCCCTCCCACCAGCATTACTTCTACCTTCCTGTGTGGCCAGAGGCCAGCCACACTGTGTTCCCAGGCCTCAGTTTCCCCATCTGTGAAGTGGGGGCCAGCTGGGTTCAATCCATGATTCTATGAGACACTCAGAGGGTGTGGCCCAAGAGGGCTGGGTCAGGAGCCTGGTCCTGGCAGAGGCCCCTGAGCTGCACCCTTCAGCCTCCAGGGCTCCTCCTCAGTGCCCAGACCTGTGGATTGGAAGCCCCCAGATTGGGGATGGGGCAAGGAAGGGTGATCTGGCCCAGGTCCAGTCCATGGCACTTCATGGCCTCATCTGCAGAGGGTGTGAGACAGAGCAGAGAGCCTAGGCTGCCTGTGGAGGGAGAGGGCCCAGGCTGAGACTGCTGCAGGGAAGGGGGAGGCAACTTGGGGGAAAGGAAAGACCTTGCTTCCCTGGGCCTCAGTTTCCCCATCTATCAGGGGAGGAATACAGTCACTTGCCATAACACACTCCTGGTGACTGTGCCCATGGCCTGGAGGGAGAAAGCGGGAGGGGAAGAACAGCTGCCTTGTGAGTCTCTTCCGGTCAGGCCAGGGCACCCAAATCCCAGAAGAGCCTAAGGGTCAGGCTGAGCCCAAAGCTCTCCAGTCTTCGGGATTTGGGGCACCAGGCAGGGAGAAGGCAAAAACCACCCAGACCCCAGTCCCTCTAGAGACACAGTTTCCTTGGTTCTCAGGCCCTATCAGAGGCCTGGGGGCTGAGCTGTTTCCAGGCACTCCAAGGAGCTGCCTTTGGGCCCTTCCTCTGCCTGCCGCCCAGGCTGTGCAGCTGGGTGCATCTCCATCCCTCACAGAACCCAGAGCAGGGGCTAGGTCAGGCGGTAGAAAGAAGTTTGCACCAGAGAGTTGAGACAGGGAGGGGAGGGCTCTACCTCTGACAACCTCTTGCCCGACCCTGAAGCCTGGCTTATATGGTGGGACCCAGGTGATGGAGCTGTGGAGTTCGAAGCGTCCTCTAGGGAACAAGGTGCCCACTCCCCATTTTGCCTGCACCCCTGTCTGGTGGTCTCCGGGCAGGCCACGTCTCTGGGTCTCAGTTTCCCCCAGTGGAAATGGGACTGAGCTCACTCCTACCCCGGGTCTCGCTGCCCTCACCACTCCGACCCCAGCCCGACCAGGCCCAGGGAGGGGCAGGAGCGGACAGCGCGTCCAGGTCGCTGGCATGGACAGCGGGAGGACAGAAAGAGGGACTTACCAGTTTCGTAGAGCCCAGGCAGTACGTCCAGGCTCCCTGAGCGGCCCCAGGGAGAGCGGAAGCGGCGGGGCCCGAGGTGCGGGGTGGGGGGGAGCTCGGGACGGCCCCTCCCAAGAGTGCCTCGGAGTCTGATTGAGGGCGCGCTCAGGTCCGGGTCAGGAGGGGCGGCGGGCGGGTGCGCCCCCGAGCGGCGGGCGCGGATCTGCTGCAGGGGGCTGCCGCACGAGGCCCTGGGGTACCCCAGAGCCGCGGCCTAGTGTCCGGGCGTCCGGGTCCCGGTGACCTTGGGAAGCCCGAGCCGCGGGGGCGGTGCAGGGCCTGACCGCCCCCACTCCCTACTCTGGAGCTGCTATTCCGGGCGCCGTGCTCAGGGCCCGGGAATGTGTGCGAACCGAAGTTGCCTTAGACTGGTTCTGGGAGTCCATCGTCCTGCCCTATCCCCGTGGACTCCCGGATTGCGTCCCGGCCGGGGTCTCTGTCCTGGGTCACGGCCTCCTCCTGCACGGTCGCCTATGGTGGGAACCCCCGCACGCCAGGGCTCAGATCCCAGGGTTCCCTTTCTCAGGTCCGACCACCCCCCACGCAGGGCCCCAGCGCACTGGAAAGAGGCTCAGCTTCGGGGGCCTGGAGTGGGGGACGGAGGGACCCTCCCAGCTGGCGCATTCCCGGGAGCTGCTGTCACCAGAGGACGCGCCCCACCCTGCCTCCCGCCCTCCTACCCCAGCCCCGGGAATGCCAGCTGCGGCTTTGGGGCCAGACCCGAGTAGTGAAGGTTCCTCTTCCTCATTGCCCGGCCCTATTCTCTTGGGCCTCAGTTTCCCCATCCTAGCAATAGGGCCCACAGGAGTCTCCACTGCGCACCTTCCAGCTGGAACTGGGCTCTTTGAGCAGACCCGCGGCACAAAGGTTGCCCCAGGGTTCCCCACACACACCCTCTCCCTCCCACGCAGGGACACAGTGAGCGCCCCAGGTTCTGGACTCCATGGTCCTTTAGTCTTGCCCCCTGGCGCCCCCTGGCGGGCGCTGAGAACTTAAAAACACTAAGAAGGAGGGGAGGAGAGCCGGGGGGACCGCCCTTCTGCCCCAGCCCGGGAGTGCCACTTCTTCCAGAAAGCTGATTGAGCTGTCCCTGGCGCTGACCACCGGGATGGGGCCGAGAGACTGAGGGTTGCCGGTACAGCTCGGTCTGCCCTTCAGCCAGAAGCACCCTAGAGCAAGACTACGAGATACCATTTTGTGTCCCCAAGCTGTGCTTCCAAGCTGTACACCCGCATCCATCCTGGGCCAGCCGCAGAGGCAGCCCTCAGGACGATATATTTTCATCTCTGATCCCAAGGCTCAGGGAGAATAGCCCAGACCCATGAGAGGTGGGTTGAGGGTAGGAAGGTGGTCATTGAAGAGGTGAGGCCATAAGGAAGTCAGAGAGCACAGAAACAGCTGGTGCAAAGGTTTTGAGGCTGGAATAGGGGCAGGAGATCAGGCACCGGGCGGGAGGCAGGGGGTGGTGGGGTGGTGGGGTGGTGGTAGTGAAGATGAGGTTGGGGGGGGATGGGCACTATAGGAAGTGTTTAAGCCCTGGTGGTAGAGGTGCTTTGGTTTTGGAAAAGCTACCCCGTGTAGGGACACGAGTGGGGGCTATAGCATCGTAAGGGGCAGAGTCCTGAGGAGCAGCAGCTGAACCAAGGTGTGGCTGGATGGGGAGTAGTGGGTGGGTCCCAGCCCTGTTTAGAAGCAGAGTCAGCAGAAGGTGCTGATGGATCTGGATGGGTGGAGGCCCAGACAAAGGTGTCTGGGTCAGTGGGGTTGCATAGCCTGCCTGCCTTAGCAGTGCCATGTGGTTGGAGATGAGTGTATGGGTGTCATGGGCACACATTGGGTGTTTAGAGTTGTAGAATAGGTCAGGGTGGTAAGAGAGCAAGAGCCAGGTGAGCCTGGGGTCCCTGAAGGAGGATGGAGCTGCACTGAGTCCAGTGGACAATCATATCCCCTCTGATGCGCCCCATTCGTGGAGGCACAGTCCACATTGCTCTGCAGGGTGTGCAAACAGTAGGCACTGTGCCCTTCAGGGAAGGTATACAGAAAGCACTGTGCACTGCAAGGAGCAGGCATTATGCCCTGCAGAAAGAGCCTGAAACAGGCATTACATCTTGTAGAAATATATGCAGTAGTAGACTCTGCCCTTTAGAGAGTATGTACAATAGACACTGTGCCGTACAAAGAGTACATCATCTAGAACAGCAGTTCTCAACCTGTGGGTCGCGAGCCACAAGAACTGTATTAAAGGGCTGTGGCATTAGGAAGGTTGAGAACCACTACTGTAGAAAGCGTATACAGCAGATGCTGAATCCTGCAAAGAGGGCATACAGAAAGCACTGTGTCCTGCAGGGAGTGCATCCAGCAGGTACTGTGCCCTGCATGAGGTCTCTATAACTTGTGGGATGGCCAGAATGGTGAGCAGTAGTGAAGGCGTGGAGTCCCCAGCAGCCTGATCCCCCACACTCCAGATCTTTCTCCTCTTGTTCCCCATCCTGTCTCTACTAACTGTTCCTGAGGATATAACTCAGACAGTTCTCCAAGAAGGAGGCTGGGAGCTCAGCTCAGATACCTGGTGCAGGCAGAGGGGGCAGCAGCTAAGGGTCAGAGGCTCCTAGCATCCCAGCCCAGATCACTATACCCACCTGCTCATGCCTGAACCCCACTCCAAGGATCACTAGATTCCTCCCACTCTGAGCTTCACTCCAGATACCCTCCACAAGGCAGGCTGGGTCAGGACAATATGGGGAACTGAGACTAAGGTCCTAGCCAGCATGGGTCAGTTGGGTTCCTGTTTCCTCAGTGCTCTAATGGCCTCCAGGCATTAAGAAATGCCGTGGCTCAAGTGGCTAAGGCGCCAGTCACACACACCTGAGCTGGTAGGTTCAAATCCAGCCCAGGACTGTCAAACAACAATGATGGCTGCAACCAAAAAATAGCCAAGGCATTGTGGTGGACACCTGTGGTCCCAGCTACTTGGGAGGTGGAGGCAGGAGACTCGGTTGAGCCCAAGAGTTGGAGGTTGCTGTGAGCTATGATGCCATAGCACTCTAACCCAGGGGGACAGTCTTGCCCCCTGGTGCCCCTCAAAAAAAGGCTCTGTCTCAAAAAAAAAAGAAAGAAATACCATGATTGACTGGGCACCTGTAGCTAAGTGGTTAGGGCTCTGGCCACACACTTCAGAGCTGGTGGGTTCGAATCCAGCTGAGGCCTGCTAAAAAAAACAAACAAAAATGAAACAAACAAACAAAAAATAGCCGGGCATTGTGGCATACACTTGTAGTCCCAGCTACTTGGGAGGCTGAGGCAAGAGAATTGTTTGAGCCCAAGAGTTGGAGGTTGCTGTGAGCTATGATGCCACAGCACTCTACCAAGGGTTACAGAGTAAGACTCTGTCTCAATTAAAAAAAAAAAAGCAATGATCTGCAGTATGGCATTGTACAGTCAACAAACGGTAGGTGCTGTGCACTTGAAAATTTGTTGGGAGAGATTTTTCAGCCAATGTTTTTTTCCATGAAAAAAGAAAAAACAGGCTCAGCACCTGTAGCTCAAGTGGCTAAGGTGCCAGCCACATACACCTAAAGTGGTGAGTTCAAATCTAGCCTGGGCTTGCCCAACAACAATGATGGCTGCAACCAAAAAAAATAGCCAGGCGTTGTGGTGGGCGCCTGTGGTCCCAGTTACTTGGGAGGCGGAGGCAGGAGACTCACTTGAGCCCAGGAGTTAGAGGTTGCTGTGAGTTGTGATGCCACAGCACTCTACCCAGGGGGACAGCCTGAGGCTCTGTCTCAAAAAAAAAAAAGGAAAAAA